AAAAAAAAAAAAAAAAAAAAAAAGTGAACCTGAGAGCACAGAACACTCAGCCTTGGCTGTTAGGAGGAGCAGGGTCAGGAGAAATGTCAGGGTCTTGCTTTGTTTTATTTGGGGTGGGCTTTGTTATTTACTTTTCTCTCTAATGCTGGAGACTTGAGTGTGTTTGTAAGTGATGGGGAGGGGCTGTGCAGGGCAGGGGTGGACCCCATCCAGGTTACGGGGCCAGCTGCAAGGCTGAGGGGCTGGGTGACCAGCTCCTGCCTTTGTCAGGAGTAGTTACTAAATAGCTCAGACTTCCCCACCATTGTCTGCATGTGAGATCAGTGGGTTTGATGGTGTGTCCTCATGGGCCCACAAGTTCTGTGACACCAGGACTTGGTATATGGCTGGATTTCCCATATGCAGGGGAGAGGTGGAAATGAGAAGTTTTGATATTGATTTATGTAGATGTAGATCTATTTGGTTTGTTTCTGTACGTGTTTGGTAATGAGGGGGTTCTGATTGGAGCCTGCTCTGGGGGTCTCAGCTACTCTCTAGGCTCTGGGTTACCCAGTTCTGGCAGGTGAACTGCAGAAGGAGTGTGATCATCTCTTCCCTGAGTTATTGTCAAGAGTTAATGGAGAAAATGGTAGAGGAATATGTTTGTGCTCTAACTTAGGTCACAAACATTGGTCATGGCAGGCCTGTGTTTGTGATGTTGCTCCACTGAGGCTTCCCATCAGTGTCTTGTTCTCTTTGGGTTTGTGTTCCTTGGGCTGACTGGAAACAGTGCCTGCAGTGTGATCGGTCAGCATAACTAGAGATTGCTTTGTGACTGAGTCATTGTGAAGGAAAGCAAGGCTGTCTGTTACCCTCCATCTCTTGCTCTTTAAATTGGCTTTGCTGATAGGATTAAGCCTTCAGAACCCTCTTTAGATGCTGGCTAGGTGTAAGGTCATCAGAGTTGGGAGGTGGGCAGTTGCTGATCGTGGCTTCTCTCCTGTTGATCTTTTTTGGTATTTGATGTTCAAACCATCAGCTTTCAGAGGCATGGGGGCTGGTGGAGGGGGAGGAATCGCATAAAAAGCATATGAGTCATTAAGAAACATCCTTCTATAGAATGTGCCCAACCTAGGCCATTGAGACTGTTCCTTGTTGATGCCAGCACTGGCCACACCAATCATCTCAGAGTTCTCTGAAATGAAGTATCCCAGAAGAGTGGGAGTGATGTTATGTTTTGTCTTCTGGGTGGAATCTCCCCCTTTTTGTTGCCTTCTCACCAGCTAAGGTTATCCCCTTCTGTGCGTCCTAGGAATAGGTGAAGAACAAGGCCCCTGCATGCCAGACACCCTGCCAGCTTGTGTGGTGGCTGTGGAACCCAGGTTCCTCAGGCTTGTGTGTTCTTAGCACCTTTCTCCCAGGTCTGGCATTTGCCAACCCCTGTTTGCATGGGGACTGTGGTGATGGTTTTGGCTGCTTCTGTTTGTTCGCTGTAGGTACAACACAAAGCTTTTGTAAATAATGAACTCCAATCATTGCCATTTCTGCCTGCAGCCTGGAATTGTGTCGCCATTTAAACGAGTATTCCTAAAAGGTGAAAAGAGTAGAGATAAGAAAGCCCATGAGAAGGTGACAGAGAGGCGCCCTCTGCACACTGTGGTGCTGTCATTGCCTGAGCGCGTCGAGCCAGACAGACTGCTGAGCGACTATATTGAGAAGGAGGTAAAGGTAAGTCGTCATGGGCCACAGGATGAGCCTATCAAACGACAGCAAAGATTGTGTTTGTACCCATCAAACACTCTGAGTCTATGAGACACTGACACACAAACACCCTTGTCTTGCCTATGGTGATACATCTCATAACTAGAAAACCCAAGCCCCAGGCTGCTGTCTTCTAACCCCAGTTTCTGGTTCTTTCTGCAGTAGCATGTCACCCTCTCTCTCTTTAAGGCCTGGCCATGCAGACAGCATGTGCTGCTCTACCAGAATAGGGTTGCAGGGCTGGAAGAAAACTCATGTCTCCTTTAGTTTGCAGATGAAAAGAGTTACTTGGTCAAGGTCATGGGTGGTTGTGAGTGTCACAGTCACAGCCTAGGACCTGGGTCCTGATTCAGACCATGTGTTTGAAACCTGTTGTGGTGTCTCAAAGGCCTGTGCCTAGAATACTATGCATCAGTCTTGTGATGTGCATGAGTTAATTTTTAGTACCTTGCCTGAAACAAAAGTAAATAAGGCATAAACCCACGATCAGAGAGAATGGAAAGGAGACAGTAGTGGATATGGGTGATTCATAAACTTAGAAGAAGGAAAGCAATGAAGGTGAGAAGCCTGAGAGCCAGTACAGCCAGATCTGAACCTTTCACCTACCTTCTTGGAGTTCTCTGAAATGAAGAATCCCAGAAAAGCCAGAAAAAGTTGGAATGATATTATATTTTGTCTTCTGGGTGGAATCTCCCCCTTTCTCTTGCCTCTGGCCAATTGAGGTTATCCTCCTTATTCCCTTTCTGTGAGTTGTAGAAATAGGTGAACGTCTGAAGATCCACAGGAAGGATTTGCGCTTTCACTTGGCCCAGCCAGATGATGAGTCTACCACCACCACACTGGGAGGTGGAGAGCTTTGGACATGATGACACCTGACACAGGGGTGGGTGGGGGAAGACCCAGGCTGATGCACAAGAAAGTTAAGTCAAAGCCCATAAGTGGAATCATGAGAATTCTGTGCCCTTTCCTCAGTCAGGCTTCCAGAACGTCTACACCCTGGTGTCTCCCACAAGGGACTTCTTGGAAGCTTAGTGTGGAAGTTGAGCAGCCCATACTAGCCCTGGGGATTACCATTCAACCAGCCTAAATAAATCCTGACAGTTGGGACTCCTGCCAGGCACCCAGCTTCTGTCAGCTTTTCAGAGCTCCTCTTTTTAAACATAGGGAACTAAGGATAAGTATGCATTTGAGGTAAAGTTGCAACCTAAAGATAGAACGCAAGACAAACACAAAAAATAAACACAAATGAAATAGCAAGGATGTAGAAAATAGAGGAAGGAATTTTAAAATGTATATATTTAAAAAAAATTTTTTTTTTGAGGCAAAGTCTCACTTGGTTGCCCTCAGTAGAGTGCTCACAGCAACCTCAAACTCTTGGGCTTAAGCGATTCTCTTGCCTCAGCCTCCCAAGTAGCTGGGGTTATAGGTGCCCCCTACAATGCCTGATTATTTTTAGAGATGGGGTCTTACTCTTGCTCAGGCTGGTCTTGAACTCCTGAGCTCAAGCAGTCTACCTGCCTCAGCCTCCCAGAGTACTTAGATTACAGGCTTGAGCTACCGTATATTATTTTTCAGAATAATAAAAGAGGACATATTCTTAATGATAACATGACAGGATTCTGCGCTCTCTCTCTCTCTCTTTTTTTTTTTTTCTGAGACAGAGTCTTAGTATGTTGCCCTCGGTAGAGTGCCGTGGTGTCAGAGCTCATAGCAACCTCAAACTCTTGGACTTAAGGAATTCTCTTGCCTCAGCCTTCCAAGTAGCTGGGACTACAGGCATCTGCCACAATGCTTGGCAATTTTTTTGTTGTAGTTGTCACTGTGGCCGGCACCCTCACCACTGAGCTATGGGTGCCAAACCAAGGATTCTGCTTTCAAATAAAGAAAAGGTGAAGGGAAGAGATTTTGGAATGAAAAGTATATTATGTTAATTATGTATCTTAACAAATTTAACAGAGGGTTGAAAGATAAAAATTAAGAAAATCTCCCAGGAAAATTAACAAATGACAAAATTAGTTAGCAAAAGATAAAAAAGAGAAACCAGGAAATTAGAGGATCTATCCGTGAGGTTCAGCATCTGGCTTATAAGTAGAAAGCATGGAGGAAAGAGCCCAGTGTATGACTAAGAAGTATAGAGAAAAGGAATGAGAGGAAATTATTAAAACAATACAGGAAGAACATTTTGCAGAATTAACAGATGGACTTTCTGCACTAAAGGGCTCCTGTCATGATGACTAGAAAATCAGGTCTCTAAAACCTGAACTCATGGTTATTAGAGGATGTTCTATATCAAAACATACGGCAGACCAAGAAGAAGGAAAATACAGGTTCAGGGTGGCACCTATGGCTCAGTGAGTAGGGCGCCAGACCCATATACCGAGGGTGGCTGGTTCAAACCCAGCCCTGCCAAACTGCAAAAGAACAAAACAAAACAAAACGAAAATACAGGTTCAGAGCTCCAGGAGTCTAGCACAAAAAAGAACAAAGATAATTACCAGGATGACAGAAAAGCGAAGTTCCAGGACAGGCATCTAAGAAAATAACTGCAAAAGCTCTGAGAAAGCAAAGTACAGATTGTATGTTTGGGTAGAAGGATATTATGAGCGGCTTCTGAAGAATTAAAATAGTATATAGCTACATTTTATTGCTACTGCAATCAAGTTTGTGTGGTATCTGCACAGAGATCAGAGAAGAATTGTGAATCCAGAAACAGATCCATGCAAATATACCCAGCTGATACTTGAGGAAGATGCAAAAGCAGTTCAGTGGAGGAAGGATAGCGTCTCAACAATGATGCTCGAACAATTGGACCTCCTTAGGGAAAACTTGACCTGGCCTTCAACCTCATACCTTATACAAAAATTAACTCAAAATAGATCATGGGCTTAAATGTAAAACTATAACTAGGAAAAAAAAATCCCAGAAAATCTAAAAGATGTGTAGGGCAAAGGTGAAGAGTTCTTAGCTCTAACATTAAAAAAGTACATAAGAGGAAAAACTGATAAAACACTTGGACTTCCTCAAATCTTAAAACCTTTGCTCTACAAGAGGATGAGAAGTAACCTGCAGACTGAAAGGAAGTATTTGCAAACCACATATCCGACAAAGGGCTAGTATTTAGAATGTATAAAGAATTCTCAAAACTCAACAGTAAAAAAAGCAAACAATCCAATCTGAAAAGAAAATGATCCATTTCAGAACATGGGCAAAGATAGGGAGAGATGTTTTACTGAAGAGGATATGGCAGTTAAGCACATGAAAAGATGTTCAACATTGTTAGTATTGGGGAAATGCCAGTTGAAACCACAGCGAGCTGTCACTACACACCTAACTGACTAAAATAAAAAGAATATGAAATGCTGGCAAGGATTTAGAGGAACTGGGCCCTTCCTCCTTTTGCTGGTGAGAATATAAATGGTATAGTCACTCTGGAAAACAGTTTGGCAGTTTCTTTCTTTAATTTTTTTTCTTTTCTTTTTTATTTTTTTAATTAAATGATAGCTGTATACAATAATGCAAACATGGGGTACAGTGTAGTGTTTTCATATACAATTTGAAATACTTTCATCAAGCTAGTTAACATAGATTTCATGTCATTTACTTAGTCATTGTGTCAGAACATTTATACTCTAGTTCTAGAAAAGTTCACTTGTACTTTTGTTAGACAGACCATATAGGTGATCTTTCCAGTCACCCTCCCACCACCAGCCGCCCTTCTCCCCTCGGCAGTTTCTTTAAAACAGCATCCACTTGGCTGTATAAGTTGGCAGTTGTGCTCCTAGGCATTTATCCCAGGGAAATGAAAATTCATGTTCACATGAAAACTTCGATGTGAATATTCAAGGCAGTTTTATTTGTAATAGCCCCAAACTGGAAACAGCCCCCAAATCAGTGTCTTTTGGTGGGTAAAAGGTTAAACAAAATGAGGCTTGTTCTAACCATGGAAGACTGCTCAGTAATGAAAAGGAGTGAGCTGCTGATAACACGCAGTAAACTGGATGGATCTTCAGAAAATTATGCCAAGTGAAAAAAGCTATTCCAAGAGGTCATATCCTGTGTGATCCCTTTCATGTAATATTTTTGAAATGACACAATTACTGAAATGGAGAACTGATTAGGGTGTGCTGGAGGTAGAGGGCAGTGGGTATGCCCATGTCAGGGCAGCAGGAGGGATCCCTGTGATCGGTGTTCTGAGTCTTGACTGTCAGTGTCCATGTCTTGGTGTGATGTGCTACCGTGCTACAAGACATTCCCTTTGGGGGTAACAGAGTAAAAGGTATAATGGATTTCCCTGTGTTGTTTCTTACACATAGTATGTGAATTTACAATTATCTTAGAATAAAAAAAAGTTTAACTATAAAGAAAGAAAAGGTTGCTTATAAACAAAATTATAATTTCACTACTATTTGGCACATCAGTATGATAGAATGTGGGTAACAAAATGATTTAAGTACTAAGTAATGATTAAGTTAAAATTTATGTAAATAGTAAGAAAAAAGGAAGAGGAAGTAGGAGTGGTGATATAATTGGAAGTCAATGAATAATGTCTTAAATTGATAAATCAGGCAATAACAGTATAAACGTATTACTTGGAAAAATGGCCCTAGATGCCAGAAGACACAGAAGACTCCAGTGTGACTGCCTCCTAGAAGTGGTTTATAGGGTTGTCCTGATTAGCCCAGGAGATTGTTAGGCAGTTCTTTGGACTATTTGCCTATTTACATTCGTTTGTACATTTATTACTCTGATAAAATAAAAATGATGACAACAAAATCCAGTAGTGAGGAATCATTTAATCCCATATACTCCAGTGTGGTTCTTCATGGAAAGTAGTTTGTATTTAGAGTGAACATTAATAAAACAAAGTTTAGAGGAATTTGATATTAGCTTCTGTTTTTGGAATGCTTACTTTGTGCAGCAGCACTGTGAATATTTTTAATCCATATTTCTCATTTAATCTTCACAAA